GCATCTTGTTGTACTGGTTGTCACAAACAATGCTACTCCTAATGTTGTTGCAGCTAATTTGTTGTGCATAGCTTATCTTAGAATCTTTTGGATACCATGTGGAGCACATTGTATAGACCTCATGCTTGAGGCTCTTGGCAGTTTAACCGAGAAATCAGGTGCAGTGAAGAAGGCAAGGTCAGTTACAAATTTCATTTATAGCCACCATTTCACCCTCATCATGATGCGTAGATTTATAAAGAAGAAAAAGATTGTAAGGCCTGGCATCACGAGATATGCGACCTGGTACTTATGCCTAGATAACATACATTTGAGGAGAGTGCAGTTAAGGCAAATGTTTACCTCCTGGAGAGCATGCAAGTGGTCCAAGGATCAGGTTGGGAAGAAGGTGAGAGATATTATCATTTCTAAAGCTTTTTGGCGAGGGGTGAATGACACTAGATCTTCTGCATAGAGGACGAGGGTGGAGGAAGAAGAGATAGATTCAGAAGAGACAAAGGAGGACAACCAATATGTCGAGGAGGATGACAACTTTGATGGCAATGAATATGATGCAAATGCAGCTGACCCTACTTTTTTGTGATGATGAATGATGGATGTTGAATAATGATTGAACTTTGAACATTGATTGAACTATTGAAGATTCTTTTGAGTCTTCAGGTATTGCTTTCATTTTTGTTTTCTTCCTCTTGGTTGTGGCCTTGTGGATAGTGGATTTGTAGTTCCATTGGTTTCGTATTTGGTAACTTTAGTTTGGTAATTTGGTTGGTAAATTTTAAGTTTTAATTGGATATGGACCGACTTATGGTTATGCTTATGGAGTGTGTGCTAATGTGTAATATACTTTGAATTCTGATGTGCCCTAAATACTTAATTCTTATATTTATACAATATATAAGTGTAGAATCCTTTTTGGATTCAACTGGGTTGCCTAGGTTCTGGGTGCCCACCTAGGCGTTGGGCAGCCTGGACTCCCCAGGCCGCCTAGGACTGGCCTAGCGCTTTTTGAAACTATGCATGCATGTCGACATAGATTTCTCGTTTCTGTATACCTGTCTTAGAGTATGTAGTGCATTGGTATGTCAAATTACCATAAATGCTGACGAGTCTTATTACTTAGCATGTGAAGGTTCTCCTTCATCTAAATTTACATATCTAATAACCTCGATTTTCGTTTATAAACAAAATATCTGGTAACTATGCAGCTTTAGTTAAGAATGGTTTAGAAGGGGAATTAGTAGAATTTCATACGTTCAATGGGCAATTGATTGTTTTCTCGAAGTTTTTCTAGGAAGAGGAAAGCTTACGACAATGTATAATATAATCATTATGCATATTGAGCTTGTGCTTATACAAAATTCCTTAATAGATAAATTGGACTAGTTTCCTTATTCTGTGCCATAATGGAAGTGATGCAATGGTGAAACAAATGAATCCCATTTCAAGCGCCTGCTCTCTTTATGACCATTACCAATCAATTGACCAATTATAGGGTCCCATAGAATACATTTTAGGAAGTAATATTGTATCATTAACTATGTTGGACTACAAGTTCACTAAGAAAAATAAGATTAATGGA